ATATAATATATATGTAATTATATGTTTATATTTGTACATTTATTATTATTATTTTTTATTCTTCATTTATGCTAGTATGCACGCATGCATGCATGCATGCATGTATGCATTAATGAATGCATGCTGGAGCTCACCAGGCTGCGTAGTACAAATTTGGGGCTGTCTATGAATCCTCTACGAGAGGTAGGTAGAGGCTCATTAGCTAATAGACGTTGTCTCTCTGCTTCCTCTGCTGCTGCTATTTGCTGCTGTCGCTCCTTTTCCTGCTGCTTCTGCTGCTCCTCCTCCGTAAGCTTCGCTGCTGCTGTTGCTCCTGCTGCCGTCTCTTCCTTATCCCCACCTGCCCCCTCTCCACAAGGAGAACGCTCTCCTGCTGGGGCTGTTGCTGCACCAGCTGCTGCTGCTGCTGCTGCAGGGCCAACACGTCGCAGCGACTTACGCACACCTTCACTCTCCCACCACTGATGCAGCCGATTGCCGCGTTGCTGCAGCACTTGCTGCCAGCTGCAGACCCACAACAGCAGCAGCAGCAGGGGACTGTGGTAATGAAGTTGAGTCTACTAAGGATACTGGAGGGCTTGCAAGCACGAGAAGGCACGGCTAGCTACAGGTCTCTATCTACCCATCTAGCTAGTTAGCTGTGGCCAGCTAGCCAGCTACCTGTTGCACAGATAGACAACAAGGATAGCTGCAGCTAGTTACCTAGCTAGCTAGCTAGCTAGCTAGCTAGCTAGATAGCTACAGTAAGGGGCTACATACCTCTTGACATATCTGTGAGTGACATCGCGAAGCTCTCCTGTTGCCTCGACCGCCAATATAAAACGAACTGCAGCACGGCCTTGCTGCTCCAACGCACACACGGCCTGCTGCTGCTGCTGCTGCTGATGCTGATGCTGTTGCTGCTGTTGCTCAGTCTTTTCGATGATGGAGGGGTCTGATGCAAGCTGCTGCACAGGGTCTTGTTCAGGCCCCACACAGGAAGCAGAAGAGACAGCAGGGAGCGTCTGTGGCATGTTTTGCTGTTGCTGTTGATGCTGCTGCTGCTTAATGGGTTGCTGCTGCTGCTGCGGAGAACGATGCCGGTGCAGCAGGCCTCCCCTTGCCTGCCTGCGGGCACGAAGGAAATCCAAACCCAATAGCTCGCCACCGCTATTCAGCCCTGCAAGTCTGCGCTTGCTGCTGGCGCTGCTAGTGTTGCTGCTGTTGCTGCTGCTGCCCCGACCAGCAGTGTCTGGACGTCCTACAGACTGTGCTAGGCCCCGCTTCCTGCCGCTGCTGCTGCTGCTCTGCTTCCAAGCTGCAGCAAATTCATCGGCAATACGCGCCGCCTCCTCAGCCATTTCATGCGGAGCCGCTGTGGTATCACGCCTACTGCTGCTGCTGCTGCTGCTGCTGCTGCTGCTGTTGCTGCTGCTGCTGCTTTCAGGCTGCACAGCTTCTGCTGCTTCTGTTACATCCAGCAACAGCTGCTGCAGCTGCTGCGGAGGGTGAGCGATATTATCGTGGAAGCGCCACAGCAACGTTCGCAGCAAGGGAGACCGCAGCACACGCTGCTGCTCTTGCTTTTGCTGCTGCTGCTGCTGCTGCGGAGACACAAAAAGGGTTAAGTGATCAGGCCCTAAGAAAAGAATGCGCCATCGCCCGGCCTCCCAGTAGAGAGGGCGTCTTAACCCTAAGAGAGCAGCAGGACGTAGTGCTGCTCGTTTTACTGCAGCAGCAGCAGCAGCAGCACCTGCTGTGGCTGCTGCTGCTGCTGTTTTCCCTCTGGCGGTTGTGCTCTCGGAAGTGTCTACCTTCTGGGGCCTTCCCGATGCAACATCTTTCTCGGCCTCAGATTCACTGCTGCTGCTGCTGCTGCTGCTGCTGCTACTGCTGTTGCTGCTGCTGCTGTTGCTACTACTGCTGCTGTTGCTGCTACTGCTGCTGCTGTTGCTGCGTCGCGAAGCAGAGCGGCGATAGGGCTTAGCAGTCAGCAACAGCCCGCTAGCTAGGGAGCGGGCAGCTTGTTTTGCTGCAGCAGCTTTCTCTTGCTGCTGCTGCAGAGCCAGCAGCTGTTGCTTCTTTCTTTCTTCTAGAGCCTTGAGCTCCTTGAGTTGCTGCTGTTGCAATGTGCAGCAGCGCTTAAGAAAGAGCTGCTGCAGTGCTTCTTGTGCTGCTGCTTCTGCTGCATGCGTAGCCCCATCCCCTCGTGTTGCTGCTGCCGCCGGAGCAACCGCAGCAGGAGCAGCAGCAACAGCAGGTATTGGCTGTTTACGTCCTGCTAATACTGCTGCTGCATCATATATAGAGTTAAGGGGGCCCTTAAAGACACAAGCTATCCATCGCTGTTGTTGCATGCAAAAGAATTCTGCCCATATCTGCAGCGGCGTGTGCTGCTGCAGCAGCAGCAGCTGCTCCTGTCGAGACAGCGGCGGCACCAGCTCCTGAGCTGCTAGCGGTGATGCTACTGCTGCTGCTGCGCCTTCCCCTTGCATGTGCAGCTGCCGCCTGTGCGGCAGCAACCTTGTGGGGGGAGCACGCATGCGGCCAGAGGCGGTGACTAAGGTGGGGGCTGCTGCTGCTGCACCTGCTGCGCCTGTTGCCGCTGCTGCTCCTGCTGCTGCTGCTGCTGTTGCTTTGGGTTGCTTACGAGAGAATAGACAATCGTAAGGGCAAGCTCGCAGCAGCAGCTCCTGGCGCATATCTGCTGCAGCAGATTTATGCCTCTTCCTTGCATGCGCTTGCTTCGTCTGCGGATCTCCTCCTGCTGCTGCTGTTGCTGCATCTGCTGCAGCAGACGCAAACGGTGGCACTGGTAGCCCTGCTGCTTCAAAGAGACGAACTAGGCAGCGAGGAGGTGGAGACACGCAGGCGCTGTCACCTGCAAGACACCAAATAGCAGCAGCAGCAGCAGAAGCAGCAGAAGCAGCAGGAAATCAGTGAGCTAGAAGGAAGTCCTCCTGTTGCTGCTGTTCTATATTCCAATACTGGCATGCTGCAGAGGTACTGTTGCTACTGTGACAGCTGCTGCTGCTGCTGCTGCTGCTGCTGTTGCCGTTGCTGCTCCTTACGTTCACTCTTGGGTATGCGGAGCCCTGCAGGGGGCAGCAGCACCACCAGGCGGGCGTTAATGTCTAAGGCGCGGCAGAGGGATACGAAGAGCTGCAGACAGCAGCAGCAGCAGCAGCAACAACAGCAACAACTGCAGCAGCAGCAACCACCGCAACTCCAGTAGCAGCCACAACAGCATCTTCAGCAGCAGCAACCACCGCAACTCCAGCAGCAACACCACCAACTGCAGCAGAACCAGCAGGAGTACCACCCCCACGACTATCAGCAGCACCATTACAGACAGCAGCAGCAACAGCAGCAGCAGCAGCAGCAGCAGCAGCAGCAGGAGCAGCAGGAGGGACATACGAGTGCTTGGAGGGCACTAGATGCTTTAAAGGAGTAAAGAGAATTTAATGATCGGCAAAGAAGAGAAGAAAAACCAAAAAAAGAAGGAAAAGTACGTGAGCATATTATTGGTAAGGAAACAGGTAATAAGGATATACGCTCCCTGCTGCTGCTGCTGCTGCTGTTGCTGCTGCTGTTGGTGATGCTGTTGCTGCTGTTGCAGATGTTGGTGGTGGCGGTGCTGGGGTCCTCACTCTTGACGGTGTGACAATTGTCGCCATCCTGCTGCATACGATGTTGATGCTGCTGCTGCTGTCGCTGCTGCTGCTGCTGCTGCTGCTGGTAAGAGCGACGCATGCTAGCTAGAACTGCAGCAGCTGCTGCTTCTGAGGCGGATTCTGCTGCAGCAATCTCTTTAACGGAGAGGGATGCAGCAGCAGCTGCAGCAGCAGCCTGCTTTTCCTGCTGGTGCGCTTGCTGCGCCCTGCGGACTGCAGCAGCAGCAGCAGCAGCAGCAGAAGCAGGAGGTACCGAGGCAGCAAAGAAGGGGTGCTGCAGGCGGCCGTCGGGCAGCAAATGGAAGGAAGCAACGAAGCAAAAGGCAGCAAAACCATCAGAAGGAGTGTAGTAATCGTCGTCTGCAGCAGCAGCAGCAGCAGGTGCAGTAGGTTGTCCTGGCTTTGCTGCTGCTGCTGCTGCTGCTGCTGGTGCATCTTCGCATTTGCCTCGGTCTCCTCGTTTTGTTGCTGTGCTTGTTGCTTCATCACTTTCTGCAGCAGCTGCAGCAGCGGCAACAGCAGCTTCTGCTGCTGCTGCTGCTGCTTTAGCCTGGCACACTTGCTGCTGCAGCTTCCGTAAGTGCTGCTGCAGCGCACGGCGGCTTTGCTGCGCTGTAGACACTTGCTGCTGCTGCTGCTGTTGCTGCTGCTGCTGTTGAGCCTTGCTGCAAAAGGCAATATATGAAGAAAGGCATGCTGCCTGCAGCAACGGTGTACACCTATAGCTACTGCTGCCTCTGCTGCTGCTGCTGCTGCTGCTGCTGTTGCCCTGAATAACTGTGTTGCTTAGGTTCTGCAGCCATGCTGCCCAACCTAATAGCCAAATCTTCTCTAAGTCTTGTGCCCTTTTTATGCATGCAGCTCTCGCCTTCCTCTCTGCTGCTGTTGCTGCTGCTGCTGCTGCTGTTTCTTCGGCTGTTGCTGCTGCTTTTGTAGCTGCCGTTGGTGCTGCTTGTGCTTCTGTGCTGCTGCTGCTGCCGACTGCCTCACCATCGATGTTGCAATCAGCCCACGGGGATGTCTGCCGCTGCTGCTGCTCCCCCTTCTGGTGCCCCTGCTGCTGCTGCTGCTGCTCTCCGTCTGCATCTTGCTGCTGCTCGTCATTAAGCAGCAGCGCCTCCTCCCCCAAGCCAAGAGCTGCGTCCAGCGAGCAGCCACTGCCACCCGCAGCAGCAGCAGCAGCTGCTGCAGCAGCTGCTGCTTCTGCTTCTGCTTCTGAATCTGCTGCTGTCGCTGCTGCTGCGTCTGGATCCGCGTCTTCCCCCTCAGCAGCAATATCAAGAGGGGAGGCAGCAGCCTTGTCTGCTGCTGATGCTGCTGCTGCTGCTGCTGCTGCTGCTGCTGCTCCTTCTTCTTCTAGATCATCTTCTAGATCTTCGAAGTCGTCTTCATCTTCGGCCAAAGAGGCAGCAGCAGATGGAGCTTCTGCTTCATCTGCTGCTGCAGTTGCTGCTGCTGCTGCTGCTGCTGACGGGCTGGGGGGGCTCTCTCTTGATAACCCCCCCGAGTGCGGCGGCATCTTGAAATGTGCGGTGCCTGGTGCTGTTGCTGTTGCTGCTGCTGCTGCAGCTGTTGCTGCTGATATTTCTGCAGCTCTGGCTGCTGATTCTGCGGCTCTTGCTGCTGCTGCTGCTGCCAGATAATGCCTGCGTACCTCTGCAGTTTCTGTAACGTGGAGAGCAGCGCATGCACACAGCAGCCTTGCTGCTGTTGTTGACTCTTCCCCAGCAGCAGCAGCAGCGGCTGCAGAGATAAGAGTCTTTATTTTAAAAATCGCAGATCCTGCTGTTGCTGCTGCTGCTTCTTCTTCTGCTGCTGGTGCTGCTCCTGGGGCCTCGCCAGCGGTCGCGCATGCGGAGCAGACCGGTGGGCCCAGCAGCAGCAACTCCAGCTTGTGTTGCAGCAGCTGCAGCAGCAGCTGCAGCAGAAGTACTTTAATCAGGATGAAGAAGATGCAATATTAACAACTTAAGCAATGATTGTGTTTGCTGCTGCAGCTGATGTTGCTGCTGCTGCTGCTGATGCTGCTGCTGCTGCGTGTGGCAATCGAAGGAGGCACACACAGTCGGCAGCCTCGTTCTCACCTCTGCTGCAAACATCATTTAATTTTTAGTGTCTAGGGTTTAGTGTTTAGGGTTTAGGGTTTAGGGTTTGCGGTAACAACGACCGCCACGTGGGAGAAGACGGCGAAGACACCGCCATCGCCCGTCCGCCTACAGCAGAACCTCTCATGTGCAGCAGCAGCAAGGGTAGTAGTAGCAGCAGCAGCAGTTGCTGCTGCTGCTGCTATTTCATCTAGCTTAATTGCTGCTTCTGCAGACAATGGCATTCGCTAGGGTTCGCTGCTGCGCTGCAGAGAGGCCGCCGCGTCTGTTGTTGCTGCAGCGGAGACTGCAGCAGTCTCCTCGATTACGAACGCAGCTACAGCAGCAGCAGCAGCCGCAGCAGCACCAGCAGCAAAATCTCCAACAGTGGTTGCAGCGGCCACAGCGGTGGGGAAGGGTTTCCCTACCCAGGGTCAGTTCTGGCTGTATCGAGTGCAGCAGCTACAGCAAATGCTGCAGCAGCAGCAGCAGCAGCAGCTGCAGCAGCACAGTACCTGCGAGGAGCAAGCCTTCTTTGCTTCTTCAGTTTGCTGCATTTAAAAGGCCTCTGTCTACTGCTGCCACACGTGCTGCAGCAGTTGCCTTCTCACCTCAGCTGCATCCAGACCTGCAGCAGCAGAAACAACAGCAACAGCAGCAACGGCAGCAGCAGCAGCAGCAACAACAGCAGCAGCAGCACGTTGGTGTTCGGGTACAGAGTCATTCCTGGAATACAAATGGCTTTGGCTGCAGTTACTCATATTCAGCAGCTGCAGACAGAGCATATTTACCTTCAGCAGCAGCAGCAGGAGCAGCAGCAGCCGGAGCTGCTGCTGCTCCTGCTGCTGCTGCTCCTGATGTGGTGGCACGGAGGGATAGAAAGCTGTCTCTGTATGAACAGCAGCAGCAGCTGCTGCTGCAGCTGCTGCAGCTTGATCCATCACATCATGAGTTACGTGTAGCTGTCTCCTCTTTGCTTCCTCTTGTGCAGCAGCAACAGCAGCAACAGCACCAGCCGCAGCAACGGCAGCAGCTGCAGCAGCAGCAGCAGCAGTTAGTCCCCTCCCGTGCATGCAAAGAGGGGGGACGATTCCCCCTTATATTAGGTCTGCTGCTGCCTGCTGCCTTTATAAAGTTTATGGTGTCTCCTTTTAGGTGTCTCCTTTCTCCCTATTCAGGTGTACGTACACCTCAGCAAGGGATTAAATCATTAGTAAGACAACGAATAGAGTTGCTGCGGGCTTACGCGCTGCTGCTGCCTGTGCTGCAGCAGCTGCTGCACTCTGCTTCAGCAACAAGTTCAGCAGCAGCAGCAGCAGCAGCAGCAGCAACGAGTCCTCCAGCAGCTGCTGCTTCTAAAGAATGTGGCTACCCGCATTTGCTGCAGCTTCAGTTGGCAGATGCAGCAGCAGCAGCAGCAGCAGCAGCAGACCGTCGTGCTGCTGCCAGCTCCCGTTCTGTTGCACCAGGCCGTCGAGGAGCTGCAGCAGCTGAGCAACAGCAAACTGCTGCTGCTGCCCTCCAAGGCGTGCGTGCTGCTGCTGCATTCCTCAGCAGCAGCACATTTAGAGAAGTGCTGCAGCAGCTGCTGCAGCTGCCTTCGTTCAAAGCTGCAGCAGCAACCGTCGCAAGAGCTGCAGCAGCAGCAGAAACACAAGGAAGCACCTTCAGCCGCAGCAGCAGTAGCAGCAGCAGCAACAGCAGCAACAGGGCGAAGGAGCTTCCTGCAACAACAGCAGGAGGAGCAGCAGCTGACAATGAGGCTTTGCTGCTGCAGCAAGGGCTACACGCTTACTTCTTTGCCCCCGTGGAGACAGCTGCTGCGGCGCTGCTGCAGCTGCTGCAGCAGCTCCCTGCTGGTGCAGATAACCCAGTAGGGGCCCTAGGAGGCCCTTTGAGCTGCAGACTGCTAGCAGTACTTGTCCGTTCCCTTCAAGCCTTTAACGAGGTGCAGCAGCAGCAACAGCAGCAGCAGCAGCAGCAGCAGCAGCAAGGTAGGGCAGGCCCGCAGCAGTGGAGTCCCTTCGCATTGGGTTGCGTTAGAGAGGTGATGCAGTTAGCTCGATGTACAGCTAGCAGTAGCAGCAACTGCAGCAGCAGCAGCAGCAACAACAACAACAACAACAACAACAACAACAGCAGCAGCAGCAGCAATATTGGTTCCTTTGCTGCTGCAGCTGCTGCTTTACCCATGTCCCTCGATGAGACGCAGAAGCTGCTGCTGCTGCTACTGCAGTCGTTTGCTGCCACCATAAACTCCGAAGCAGCAGCAGCACCAACAGCAACAGCAGCAGGGACTGCAGCAGGTGTTGCTGCTGTCTGCGAGCATGCGGGGCCCCACAGTGCTGCTAAGTTGTCTTGGCGAGATATAGCTGATGCAGCAAGAGATGCAGGGCGGGTACTGACGTCTGTTGCTGCAGAAGGGGGATCTGCTGCAGCAGCAGCAACAGCAGCAGCAGAAGCAGGAGAACGAGCAGCTGATGCTGCTGCTTCTGGGAGCAGTAGCTACACAGCCCTTGCTGCTGCAGCAGAGCAAGTGCTGCGTGCTGCAGCAACTGCCTGTACACCCCATGTAGCTCACATTCCCCCCACAGACTTGGCGGCGCTGCTGTGGGCTGTTGCTGCTGCAGCACCTCGTATTTACAAGGAGATGAAGCAGCAGCAGCAGCAGCAGCAGCAGCAGCAGCAGCAGCAACAGCAGCAACAGCAGCAGGTGTTCGGTCGGCTGCTTCAAGCTTCAATCCACCATTTGCTGCTGCCGCAGAGGAATGCCGATGCTCTGTGGGGGCAACACTCAGAGGAATTGCAGCAACAGCAGCAACAGCAGCAACAGCAGCAACAGCAGCAGCAGCAGCAGCAAGCAGCTTCTTTAGGAAGGCTACAGGTTTCCTGGCAGCTGCAGCAAGCAACGCCTTTAGACAGATGTCTCCTTATTTGGAGTCTCCTAGCATGGGACCGAGCAGCAGCAGCAGCAGCAGCGCCTGCTGCTGCTGCTGCTGCTCCGCCTGCAGCAGCAGTTGGTGCTGGTGCCTCTGCAGCCATGATATGGCCCGTGGAGTGGCTAGCTTTGACTGCTGCGTTCAGACAGCAGCAGCAGCAGAAGCAGCAGCAACTGCAGCAGATGCTGCTGCAGAGCAGCGGCGCCATGGCCTTGCATGCATTGGCTGTGAGAGCAGATGAACTGACTCGCCCAGCAGACGCCGATGCAACAGCAGCAGCAGCAACAGCAGCAACAGCAACAACAGCAGCACCAGCTGCTGCTGCTGAGGATGCTGCTGCACAGAAGGCCGTGCAGGCCGTACGGCAGCAGTGCGGGTTGCTGCTGAAGGACTGTTGTGTGGCAGCAGCAGACGGTCGGCTGCAGGTATGTGCTGCTGCTGCTGCTGCTGCTGCTTGTGCTTGTGCTGCGCATGCAGCTGTTACTAATTTGACTCCTGCTGCTGTTTCTGCTGCTGTGTTGCGGATATTGTTGCAGCTCGTGAACTGCAGCCGCCTGCTGCTGTCGTTGCTGCACTCTGCTGCTCTTCTTGCTCGAGCAGCAGCAGCACCCAAAGCTGCTGCTAGCTGGAGCGGAGCCCCGCGTGCTGCAGATAAGGGCCTCGGCAAGGAGGGTGTCTTGCTGCTGTCTCTGCTGCAGCGGCGGCTGCATGCTGTTCTCCAGCAGCAGCAGCAGCAGCAGCAGAGGCAGTTGTCCTTACCTCTTGCTTCCTTACAAAGTGTCAGTCAGTTGCTGTGGTCCATGTCTACAACTGGGGTGTACCATTTGCTGCTGCTGCAGCTGCTGCAGCAGCTGCTGCTGCAACACTTGCTGCAGGTGATTCGCCTTCTGCTGTCTGCTGCCGCCTTTTGCGCCTTCTGTTGCTGCTGCTGCTGAGACTGCTGCTGCTCTTGCTGCTGTTGAGGCTGCTTCTGCTGTTGCGCCTGCTGCTGCGGTGTAGGACAATGGACAGGTGCTGCTGCTCTCCAGCAAACAACTGTCATCCCTAATATGCAGCATATTTGACCTCGGAGGGTTGCTGCCTTGGCAGCAGCAGCAGCAGCAGCAGCAACGGCGAGAGGGTCTGCAGCAGCTGGTGCTGCAGCCACAGATCCGCAGGCAGCTGCACCGAGCACTCATGAGGGCGCTAAGGAGCAGATGCCTGCAGCAGCAGCAAATAGCAGCAAAGCCTGCCGCTGCTGCTAAGCTGGAGCAGCAGCAGCAGCAGCAGCAGCAGCAGCGGCTGAGTCTGTTCCACACGGCATGCTGTCTGCGGGTGACCGCTGCTGCTGCACTGCAGTGTGCTGCTGCTGCGCTGCAGCAAAGATCTGCTGCTGCTGCTGCTGAAGAGCGCAAGGAAGAGGCGACCTTAGCTCTCGAGGCAAGCAACACATGCAGGCATAGGACATCCTGCTGCTGCTGCATTTGCTGCTGCTGCTGCTGCTACATGCAGGGACCTGAGTAGATGTGTGTGTGTCCTTAGGGCCTTGAGGAGACGGAGTGTCTCCTCAACTCCATAGACTTCACCCCTCTTGTACAGCAGCGCCAACTTATACTGGAGCAGCAGCAGCTGCTGCTGAAGCAACTGCAGCAGCAGCAGCAACAGCAACAGCAGCAGCAGCAGCAGCAGCAGCAGCAGACTGAGGGATCACTACGCATCGTTACCAGTGGTCTGCCACAGGCAAGTAAAGTTTGAATTACCGGTCTCTCTTAAACTGTTTGAGGAGTCTACACTGCTGCTGCTGCTGCTGCTGCTGCTGCTGCTGCTGGACTTGGTGCTGCTACATTTGCCGCTGCTGCAATTGCTGCTGCTGCTGCTGCACTTGCTGCCGTTGATGCTTTCGCAGCTTTATCAGGCTCTGCTGGCGGTGGCTGTCCTTCGCTGTTGGCGACCTCACCTTGTGCACCTCCTGGAAACAGGGGAGACACCTACTGCAGCAGCAGCAGCTGCAGCAGCAGCAGCTGCTGCTGCTGCAGCAACAGCTGGTGCTGCTCCAGGAGACTTAGGTGTCTCCGCTGAGGTATGGACAGCAGCACGGGCAGCGTTTGAAGATGTCTCCTCCTCTACAACGGAGTCACAGACTCAGGCAAGCTGCTGCTGCTGCTGCTGCTGCTGCTGCTGCTGTTGCTGCTGCTGCAGCAGTCTGTCTCCTTGCTGCCTGCCTCTTTACCGGCCAAGTCCCTCTTGCTGCCACACAGAGATATAGTGGTGTAAACGAACTGTCTCCTCTGCAACAGCTGCTGTTTCTGCTGCTGCTGCTGCTGTGTCTGCAGCGCCAAATGGCGGCGCTGCTGCAGCAGCAAAATGTCTCTTTTGCTGCCGAGGCAAAAACCCCTGAAGGTATTTCTGTTGATTTTGCCGTCCTAGGGCTGCCTTGCATGCGGCAGCAGCAGCAACAGCAGCAAAAGCAGCAACAGCAGCAGTTGCTGCTGCAGGGATCCAAGGAGGAGAGCAGCCTGCGGCTTGTGCTGGAGGTGGACGGGCCGTCGCACTACGCACTAGACTGGTGAGCTTGCTGCTGCTGCTGCTTCTGCTTCTGCTGCTGCTGCTGTTGCATCTGCTGCTTCATCTGCTAGCACTTCTCTTGCTGCTGCGGTGTGCTGCTGCAGCAGCAGCAACGGAGACAGTCCCCGCAGGTATTTATCTGCTGCTTCTATTTTTAAGGAAGCGCTGCTGCGCTTCTTAGGGTGGCGTGTAGTTCGCGTCCCTGCTGCTGCAGCAGCAGCAGCAGCAACAGCAGCAGCAGCAGCAGCAGCTACGGAACCCAGTGAAGCAGCCCAGCAACTGCTGCAGCAACTCAGACGTGAGGCAGCCTGCTCGCTGCTCGGTAGCGTAAACGAAGACACAAGCAGCTGCAGCAACAGCAGCAGCAACAACAGCAGCAGCAACAACAGCAGCAGCAACAACAGCAGCAGCAACAACAGCAGGGAAGGACAAAAATACAGAGGGAGATGGCAGCGAAGCAGCCATGTTATTCTCTCTACAGGTGAATAGCTACATTGCTGCACCTTGTTGCTGTTGATGCTGCTGCTGCAGCGTATTGCTGCTGCTGCTGCTGCTGCTGCCCGTTTGCTGCGTCCTTAGCAGTTCCCGCAGCAACATTATGTGTGGGGTGTCAAGACACTGCAGCAGCTTGTAGAGTCTGCTGCTGCATGCACTGAGGACACACCCTAGCGAGGAGACAGCAGCAGCAGCAGCAGCAGTAGCTTCTGCTGCTGCTGCTGCTAATAGCCCTCGCTACAGCCTTATTGTTGCTGTATGCAGTGTTTATAGGGAAGCGGCACCTGCAGATACACCCGAAGGGTAACCATTGAGGTGTACGTACACCCCAACTTAGTAAAGTGTCTCTTTTATTGGGGTGTATATGCAGCTCTTGCTTCTTATGGTGTATCTATTAACGGGGTGTATAGGCAGTATATGTTCATAAGGAGATTACTACTGGGGTGTATAGGCAGATAACTCTTGTCCTGTTAGAGTGTCCTTTTGAGGTGTACTTACACCCAGTTGTGCTGCTGCTGTTGCTGCTGCTGCTGCAGCAGCAGCGGCAGCCACTTAGGAGAATAAAAGACTAACAAATAGTAACTATGCTAACTAGCTGCATCTCCTTATTCATTTGACCTACAGCAGCAGCAGCAGCAGCAATGCAAATAAATTAAATAAATTAAATAAAATAAATAAAATAATTAAATTAATTAAATTAATTAAATTAATTAAATTAAATTAAATAAAAAATAAAAATAAAATAATATTTCTTTTGTTATGCTGCTAGGGGGGCCCCCTGTGGTTCTAACTGGCATTGTACCCTGTTGCTGCTGCTGCTGCTGCTGCTGCTGTTGCTGCTGCTGCTGCTAGCTCTAAATGCTGCATCTCTTTGCTGCTGCTGAAATTTTCATCAGAAGGTTTTTTAGATTACGGAGACAATTGCTGCTGTAGTACAGCAGCAGCAAAAGGGCAGCAACAGCAGCAGCAACAGCAGCAGCAGCTGCTGCTGCAGTGTCTCGATACACGCGGGAGCAGCAGCTGCTGCTCTCCCCCTCTGAATTCTTCTTGTTATAACATTAATTATTATTAGGCATATGTAGAAGACCGCTGCTGCAGCAGAAGTTACCTCGACAGCAGCTGCAGCAGCAACAGGATCCGCAGCAGCAGCAACAACAACTGTGGCAGCAACAGCCGCTGCAGCAGCAGCAGCGGCATCCGGCTAAGTACCTACAGCAGTAGAAATGGTACAACACGATACAGCAGCAGCTGCAGCAGCTGCTGCCTCCAAGGCAGCAGGATCTGGTGGGGAACCAGTGGCTCAGCAGCAACAGCAACAGCAGCAGCAGCAGCAGCAGCAGAGGAAGCCCAGGGTATACACCGCGAGCACATTATCTGGCGTTGGTCCTGCTGTTGCTGCTGCTGCAGGGATAAGAGACAGTCTGCTAGGCAGCTACAACAGCAGCAGCAACAGCAGCAGCAACAGCAGCAGCAGCAGCAGCAGTTCACGTAGTCAGCGGTTTTACTGGGACGTGGAGAATGACGAAGTGACATTTGCTGACGGCAGCAGCAGCAGCAGCAGCAGCAGCAGGTACAGCAGCAGCAGCAGCAGCAATAATATGTTTGCTTCTGGGGAGTTTACGCAGATGGCGGAGAGGGAAGCAGAAGATCCTTTGTCTCAGCCTCTAGTAGGAGACATAATAGAGAGGACACCTAGCAGCAGCAGCAGCAGCAGCAGCAACAGCAGCAGCAGCAGCAGCAGCAGAGGCAGAATTAGTCTGTTTGCTGCCAGTAGGAAACATGAGCCCTTCCCAAAGGCAGTTCATCGCAGTTTGCTGCAGCAGCAAGAGCAGCAGCAGCAGCAGCAGCAGCAGCAGCAGCAGCGTGCTTCTGGATCTCCAGCAGCAGGAGCAGCAGGATCAGCAGGATCAGCAGGAGGATCTGCTGAGAAATCTGCAGAAGCAGCAGCAGCAGCAAAAATAGCAGCAGATGCAGCAGAAGCAGCACGTATATTAGGTATAGATGCAGCAGAGGTGCAGCAAGCGCTGCAGCAACTGCAGCAAAAATTAGGCAAAGAAAAGTTCGCTTTCTTACAAAAAAGGGCAGAGCAGCGGCTGCAGCAGCAGCTGCAGCAGATGCAGCAGCAGCAGCAGCAAGAACAGCAACAGCAGCAGCAGCAGCAAGTGGAGAAGAAACAGCAGCAATCTGCAAAAGTAGGAAACGACCAACAGTCAATGAAGCAGCAGCAGGAAAAGCAGCAGCAGCAGCAACAGCAGCAGCAGCAGCAACAGCAGCAGCAGCAGCAGCAAGAAGCAACAGGTGACGCTAACGCCTTCTTACGTTATCAAATTATGCTGCAGCGTGTAGCAGGAAAAGCAGCAGAAGCAACTGGAGGTGCAGCAACAGCAGCAGCAACGGCAGCAACAGCAGCAACAGCAGCAGCAGCAGCAGCAACAGCTGGGTTTGTATTCGATTCACGGGAAGCAGCAAAGCTGCGGTGGACAGATCCGCTGCCACCAGAGGAGTTTGCTGCTGCTGCTGCTGCTGCTGCTGGAGTTTCTGCTGCTGCTCTACAGCAGCAGGAGAAAGAGCAGCAGTTTGCTGCTGCTGCAGGTGTCCCCTTAGTGCAGCAGGAACAGCAGCAGCAGCAGCAGCAGCAATTGGCTGCCCTCCGTTTTGATTTTAATGGCCGTCTCCGTACAGACACCTGGGGACTACAAGCAGCAGCTGCTGCAGTTGTCTCCTTTTGGCAGCAGCTGCTGCTGCAGCAGCAGCAGAACCAGGACAGCAACGGAGAAGCAACATCAGCAACAACACCAGCAGCAGCAGCAGCAGCTGCTGCTGCTGCAGCTGAGGAAGCAGGAGTGGCAGCATGGTTAACACCTGCTGCTGCTGCTGCTGCAGCAACAGCAGCAGAAGCAGCAGCAGCAGCAGCAGAAGATCCTCTTGCTCACTATAAAGGATTACATCATCATGGGCAGCAACCAGCAGCAGCTGGCTATACACTGGAGGAGTTGCTGCTGCTAGCACATAGTGCAGCAGCAGCACAAAGAGCATTAGCTGTACGTACACTTGCACAGCTGCTGCTAGCAGCAAGAGCCTGCTGCTACCTACCCAACTACACTGCAGCAGCAGCTGCAGCAACAACAACAGCAACAGCAGCAGCAGCAAAACCAGCAGCAGGAAAAGAAGCTTTACCAGAGCCATTTGCTGCTTTCCGTCAGCATCTTCTTCCCCTTCTTGGCCAGCAGCAGCAGCAACAGCAGCAGCAGCAGCAGCAGCAGCAGGTGCTGCTGCGTGCAGGCTTTGGATTCGGCCTAAGCCGCTTCTGCCGCTACTTGCTGCTGGATCAGCTGCTGCTGTTTCGTCTATGTGGCTGCTTCCTTGCTGCTCCTGCTGCTGTTGCTGCTGCAGCAACAGCAGCAATTGCCAACTTGTTGCTTCCCGTACACCCAACAAGGAGACTAGGAACAATGCAGCAGCAACGATTGCTGCAGCTGCTGCAGCAAGAGGAACAAGCACCACCTGATGCTGCTGCTGCTGCTGTGCTGCACCTATCAGCAGCAGACACAAACCTATGCTATGCAATAGCTAAACCTTACAAGACACACAAACGCAACGCAGCAGCAGCAACAGCAACAGCAGCAGCAGCAACAGCAACAGCAGCAGCAGGTGCATGCAGGTGTCTGCTAGGGGTCTCTGATTTAGTTGCTGCTGAGGAAGAGCCTTCTTTATTCCCTTTAGGGGGTTTAGATCTTGTGGGGTGTACGTACACCCCAATGACTGTATGGCCTGCTGCAGCAGCAGCAGCAGCAGCAGATGCTCGTGTCTGCTTAGGTCCAGGCAGTGCCTGGGTAGCTCTTGCCACGCGATGGAACGATCTGCTGCCGTCGCAGCAGCAGCAGCAACAGCAACAGCAACAGCAACAGCAGCAGCAGCAACAGCAACAGCAGAGCTACCTGGATACACCTTTAGGGGATTCCTTTGGTAGACACCCGCATGCAGCAGCAGCAGACTTCGCGCAGCTGCTGCCTCGTGCTGCTCTGCTGCTGCAGGGCTGCTGGGGAGTTGCCGAGGAAGAGCAGCAGCTGCTGCGGCTGTTATGTGGCATGTGTATGGGGGGACCGCAGCAGGTGCAGCAGATGCTGCAGCAGCAACATCTGCTGCAGCGGCTGCTGCTGCTCGCAGACAGTTTGCTGCTAGGCAGCGAGGCACGGAAGGAGCGCTGCCTTCTTGCTGCTAAGCAGGTGCTGCCTGCTGCTGAGTCTCTGCTGCGCAGCAGCAACAGCAGCAGCAACAGCAGCAGCGACAGCGCTGCTGCTGCAAAGGAGATGCAGCACGAGTTCGATATAAAGGAGCAGCGGCTGCTGCTGCAGCTGCTGCTGCTGCTGCGCGTCTGCGTCTGCCGTGTTGATGAGCTGCAACAGCTGGAGCCTCTCTTTGGCCCTCTAGATATCTTCGGCAGCAGCGACACCGAAGACAGCAGCAGCAGCAGCAGCAGCAGCGACAGCAGCGACAGCAGCAGCAGCAGCAGCAAGAGCAGTGTCGTGGCATTGGTGCTGCAGTCTTTAATGGCCGTCGTTGAGATGCCTGAGCTGCAACTCTCACAGCAGCAGCAGCAGCAGCAGAAGCAGAAGCAGCAGCAGCAGCAGCTGGAGAAGTGTGATGAGGACATTGGGTTGTCTCCTGTCTCTCATATCCTGCAGGTTGCTGCAGCAGCAGCAGCAGCAAGGTTGCTGCGTCTGCTGCAGCACCGCGGCAGCTGCGCTGTGCCGCTACAGCCGCTGCTGCCTGCATTTGCTGCGCATATTCGTCGCTTCTGCATGCATCTGCAGGCGTTGCAGGGCCATCTGCTGCTGCAGCAACAAGCAGCAGCAGCAGCATCTACATCAGCAGCAGATGAGGATTGGAGTGATGATTGGACCTGCTGCTTCTCTTGTGTGCAGCATCCATCATACAGCAGCAGCTGCTGCGGCAGCAGCAGCAGCAGCAGCAGCAACGTTGCTGCTAAGGCGCGGCAGCTGCTGCGGTTCGAAGGGCAGCTAGTTGTGCAACTTCTTCTATGGGGAGCAGACGCTATAAAGGCTATGTCCTTAGAGGTGCGTCTCCTGCTGCTGCTGCTGCTGCTGTTGCTGTTGCTGCTGCTACTGCTGCTGCTGGTTGTGTTTGTGCCGCAGGCATGATGCTGTAGATGATACCACTGCTGTTGTTGCTGCTGCTTTCGCGATGATTTACTGCTGCTGCTGCTGCTGCTGCTGTTTTGCACAGCCATTTGATGTTGCTGCTGCGTATCCATGTGCAGGCGTCGCTGCTGCTGCCAGCAGCAGGGAGCCTTCTTGCTGCGCTGCAGCCGCTGCAGCAGCTGGAAGCAGCAGCATGCAGCAGGCTTGCTGCTGCAGCAGTGCAGGTGCTGCTGCGGTGTACAGAGGCTGCTCGTTGGAAGCTAAAGGAGAGCAGCAGCGAAGAGGAAGCAACAGCAGCTGCTGCTAACTGTGACGATCCTGCTGCTGCAGTGGCAGCAGCAGCAGCAGCAAACAGGAAGACAGAAGAAGCAAAACTGCTTCTGCTCAATCGTTGGCGTTCTTCTGCCTCTGCTACTCTCCCGCTGCTAGTGGGGGGTAGGGTAACGGAGGAACCTGGGCTTAACTGCAGCAGCAGCAGCAGCACCAGCAGCAGCAGCAGCGCGGGTCAGTGGGGCTCAGCGCTGGACCGCGTTTGGCTGCTTCTGTATGGCTGCAAGGAGACGCGTGAGGAGTTGCTGGCTGCATCTTCTGCTGCAGCAGCACCCACAACAGCAGCAGCAGCAGCAGTAGCAGACAACGTAGCAGCAGCACGGCATGCCGCCACTGCTGTCTCCTCGTACTTGATGGAGACAGGATGGACAATGGCTACTCGTTGCTGCTCCCTACAATCGAGACGCCCTTACCCCTGCACCTGCTCTGCATGCAGCAGCAGCAGCAGCAGCAGCAATAGCAGCAGCAGCAGCAGCTCGTGTAGCAGGGGCAGCGCGTGCAGCATGTGGTGTCTGCCAGTAACGTCGGAGAGTTTTGCTGTTGCGTCTGCTGCAGCACTGAATGCTGCACAACTTGCTGCTGCCGCATCGCTGCCGCCTTCTGAAGCTGCTGCAGGCCCTGCAGGTGCAGCAGCAGCAACAGCAGCAACAGCAGCAGCAGCAGCAGCAGCAGCCTGCCTCAACGACCCTAGGCTGGTCGAGCTGCTGCTGGCAGACGTGCAGCTGCTGCGGGGTCTCTGTGGGGCCCTTGCTGCATGCATAGCACTTGTTAGCGAAGTTGAGCAGCTTACAGCACCAGACAGCCCCAGCAGCAACAGCAGCAGCAGCAGCAGCAACAAAAGCGATCCTTCCTTGTCTCCCTGGGTGCAAAGCATGCGCTTGCTGCTGCAGCAGCCACTGCTGCAGCGCCTCGCAGCAGAAGCAGAGGCCCTTGCTGCAGCGCTGGTGCTGCTGCTGGAGTCTCTAAATGAGCAGTTGCGTATGCCGAAGCTGCAGCAAGAGGAGCAGCAGCAGCCACAAGAGCAGCAGCAACAGGAGCAACAACAGCAACAGCAGCAGCAGCAGCAACAACAACAGCAGCAGAGAGACTTGAAACCTTTCCTCCATTCTGCTGTCAGTGCAACAGCCCCAACACTGCCACAAGATGATATTGCTGCATGCGCTCTTGCTGCCCTTGATGCTGCAGCAGCATGCAGGAACTACCTCAAGCGCATGCAGCAACAGCAGCAAGAGCAGCAGCAACAACAACAACAGCAGCAGCAACAGCAGCAGCAACGGCAGCTTGGTATCCGCTGCGCTGTTGCTGCACTTGCAAGCGCAGCAACAGCAAAAACGGCACTGCTGGCCTTCGGACACCTCGCAGAGTATTTGCAGCAGCAGGAGTGCAGCTGCAGCAGCAGCAGCAGCAGCGAGGATGGAGACAGCAGCAAGTGCTGCTTGTGGGCAGCAGCAGCAGAGACAATTGTTGGCTGCTGCGATGCTACGCCATGGAGTGCGCATGCAGTGCAGCAGATGCATGCAGCACTAGCAGCAGCATCGCAGCAGCAGCAACAGCAGCAGACAGGCGGATGGACTGTTGTTGCAGATATCGAACATTACCTGCAGCAGCAACAGGAGCAAGAGCAGCAAGAGCAGCAGCAGCAGCAGCAACAACAACAGCAGCAGCAGCAACAACAACAAATTCTTGACTCTGCTCTGTTTGTTTCCCCCTTAGATCTAATTATAGGGGCGCCCCTTTGGAGTATTTTGCTGCGTAATGCAGCAGATGCAGCAGCAGCAGCAAAAGCCCGTGCTGCTGCTGCACTGACACAGCAGCTGCAGCGCTTGCTGCTGCTGCAGTCTGCTGCTGTGGGCTCCGCCGTATCCCGTATAGTCACTCCTTCCTATGTTGTTGGCGGGCTGCTGCGCAGCCTGCAGCAGCACCTGCAACAACAACAGCAGCAGCAACAACAACAGCAACAACAGCAGGAAGAGCAGGAGCAACAACAGAAGCAACAACAGCAACTCCAGCAGCAACAGCAGCAACAGCAGCAGCAGCAGCAGCAGCAGGAATCTGGAGAGGTTGCTCTTCAAGGAGATGCTGCTGCTGTGTCTGTTTGTTATGATGAGCAGCAAGAATGGCAACTAATAGATGTGCTGCTGCTGCAGCCTTTAGGAGTTGCATGCGCAGCGCCGCTTGCTGCTGCTGCTGCAGCAGAAGCAGCAGCAGCAGCAGCGACAGGGTCGTCACCCCAGGGGCAGCTACTCTCTGCTGCAGCAGCACGTGAAGAAGATAGCCGCTGGAGAAGAACCCTGCGAGCTGCAGCAGGTGCTGCTGCTGCGGTAAGCTCAGATGCAGTAGCAGCAGCAGCAGCAGACGCGGAGCCCCCTTCTAGCTTGCTGCCGACGGATGCTTTATGCGCAGCAGCAACAGCAGCAGCAACAGCAGCAGCAACAGCAGCAGCAGCAGCAAGTACAGGTGCAGAGTACATTTGCTGCTGCGAATCTGCACGTAGCTTTGCTGCTCGTGGATCGCTAGAGTTGCTGCAGCAGCTGCAGGCATCTGTTGCAGCAGAGCCTCTACAGCTGCTGCTGCTGCTGCTGCTAGGCAGCCCGCTGCTGCCGCAAGCAGCAAGACAGCCAGTGTGGGGTGACGAGGCGGCCCTTGTTGTTGTTGACAGGAATACTCTGCTGCTGCCTTCTGCTGCAGCAACAGCAGCAGCAGACAACAGTGACACTACCGCCAGCAGCAGCAGTAGCAGCAGCAGCAGCAGCAGCACGTGGGAAGCTTTGCTGCGCTTCACAGCAGCAATGAAGTGGGGTGTACGTACACCCGAGAATAAGTGGGTGTATTGCTGCAGCGCAGCAGGCAACTGTTTGCTGCTGTCTATGTTATGGGGAGGTCATAGCAGCAGTAGCAGCAACAGCAGCAGCAGCGGCAGCGGAGACACTGTGCTGCAGCAGCAGCGGAGCCACCTACAGAGACAGCTGGGCACTAGCTTAGGTCTCGCTTCTGCTGCTGCTGCTGCAGCAGTAGCAGCATACGAAGATTAACTTGCTGCTTCCCTAGATCTATACTGCACCTGCTCTGGGCAGGAAGCTGCAGCAGCAGCAGCAGCAGCAACAGCAGCGCAGGGCAAACGGTCGAGGCGTTTGCTGCTCCATTTGATGCATCCTCACTGATCTGCTGCTGCTGTGTTTGCTGCTGCTGCTGCTGTCTTCTGCTGCTGCTGCTGCTGCATCTAGCGTGTAGAGTGTAGTAGCAGAAGAGAGACACACAGACACTCCACAAATATTTGCTGCAGCGCAGCAGCAGCAGCAGCAGCAGCAGCAGCAGCAATATATAAACAAATTGAATCTAAATATGCTGTCTCCTTTTTAACTCTTTTATTGTCTCCTTGTTAAGGAGATACCTCTATTCTACCCCCTTTCTTGCTGCTGCTGTTGCTGCTGCTGTTGCTGCTGCTGCTGTTGAGGCACTACAGCTGTAAGGAAGGGCTTTTTCTGTTGCATGCAATTGGGGCTTTTTTCCACATCAGCAGCAGCAGCGGCAGCAGCAGCGGCAGCAGCAGCGGCAGCAGCAGCAGCAAGAAATTACTATGCTAGATGATGCATTTGCTGCTATAAGGAGACAGTTGCTGCATTTGCTGCTATAGGGAGACAGTTGCTGCATTTGCTGCTATAAGGAGACAGTTTGCTGCAGTAAAAGGATACAATAAAAAAGAGACAAATAAATAAGAAAAAAAAGGGGAAAAAAAGAGACAAAAGGAGACAAAAGGAGACAAATAAGGAGACACAGACATAAGAAAGGAGACAAAGAAAAAAAGAGAGATAAACAATCTTATGGTAAGAACAGCAGCAGCAGCAGCAGCAGTAGTAGTAGCAGCACAATAGAAGCAACAGGAGGAGAAGAAGTAGCAGTAAGATGAGCAACAGCAGCAGCAGCAGCAGCAACAGCAGCAGCAGCAGCAGCTGGACAAAACAATAGCAGCATGTCCGTTGTAGTCTTCTCTCTCCTTCGGGTGTATAGGCAGCTAGCAGACATTTATCTACATTAATTATAAATAAAAAAAAAAATAAAAATAAATAAATAAATAAATAAATAAATAAATAAATAAAATAATTAATGGGGTGTATATCCACTGACACATGCAACGACCGGTCAGACAGGTCTCGATACGCCGTAACCCTAAACCCTAAACCCTAAACCCTAAACCCTAAACCCTAAATAACCTTTAATATAAAAGGAAATAAAAGGGAATAAGATTTCTATTGGGTATTATAAGGGTTTATTGTTGCGGCCTGTTAAGATTAGTGTTGATTAGGGTTTAGGGTTTAGGGTTTAGGGTTTAGGGTTTAGGGCTGGTACGAAGGTGTATTATCTTCTCCCTTGTGTGTATAAAAAAGGGTTTAATGAATAAAAAAAGATAAATAAAATAATAAAAAAACTATTCTTTTTATTTAATTAATAAATAATTATTTATTTAATGGTGTATATACACAACAAGAGCGAAAAGAAAGCAGAGGAGGAGGAGCTGCAGCAGCAGCAGCAGCAACAGCATCAACAGCAGCAGCAGCAGCAGTTCTTCGCCTTCTTGGTGCTGCAGTGCTCATGCGTACAGATATTTCTTTTTTTTTCTTTTTTTTCTTCTTTTTTTTTATTTTTTTTATTAAATAAATATGCATAGAGGGATAAAGAGCAAAGAACGCATGCGGAGGGGTGGTGGTTCGTGTGCTGCTGCTGCATTGAGGCATAATCATCCTCTGCTGCTGCCTTCAACAGCAGCAGCAGGAGCAGCAGCAGCAGCAGCAGGAGCAGCAGCAGGACGTCGTGCTGCTTCCTTTACCTCATTATTGAGTGTTTTCTTGCTTGGTTTATTGTGTGTGGTAGCCGATGTAGCCTCCCCAGCAGCAGCTGCTGCAGCAACTGCAGCAACAGCAGCAGGAACAACAGCAACAACAGCAGCAGCAGCAGCAGCAGCAGAACAATCGCAGATAATAACACCAATAGATGAATCATTATTATCAGGAGAAGAAGCAGCATCACTAGAAGACACAGCAGCAGCAGCAGCAGCAGCAGATACACCACTACCCCCTGGTCCTGTATGCCACCCAATACTACTACCTGAAAAGGACCCTCTACAAGAGGACTTAGAGACGGGGGCCCCCCCAACGGAATTGGGGGCCCCCCAGGGGCCCCAAGAAATGGGGGCCCTCGAAAAACGTCTACGAGAGGAGGTAGAAGGGGGGCCCCTCGATGGGTACGAAATATTATCAATAAATTATATAAAAGAATATAAAATAAATTTAATAAAATATAGACATAAATTAACAGGATTAATAATATATAGATTAGAGGAGAGAGAAGAAGAAAAAGAAGAAGAAAATTTATTTAGTTTATGTGTAAGGACACCAGTAAATAATTCAATGGGTACACCGCATATATTAGAGCATTCTGTATTAAATGGATCTATTAATTATCCTGTTTATTCTTTTTTTTTTCTTATTGATTCTTTTTCTCTTAATACATATCTAAATGCATCTACATGGCCAGACAGGACATGTTATCCTGTTGCTTCCCTTAATCATAAAGATTTCTTGCATCTTGTGCATATTTATCTTGATGCTGTATTTAATCCTCTTGCTGTACAAGGAAATGACGATAGACATCTAAGACAGGAAGGATGGAGGTATGAGGCTGTACCTAAACAGGAATATCTACAGAATAAGACATCTGTGGGATCGGAATCGGGATCGGGATCGGTGGGATCGGAATCGGGATCCATGGGATCGGAATCGGGATCGAAATCGGGATCCTCTTCTGAGGAGTTAGGATCTGGATCGTCTCCAGAAGAATCATCAGTATCCGGAGCATCTCCTGATGCATTATCATCCCCGGGATCGTCTCCTGATGCCTCGGGATCGAGTGTGGGGTCCTCAACATCAACAGCAGCAGCAGCAGCAGAAGCAGAAGCAGCAGCAGCAGCAGAAATAGACTGTAAAGTGTCTCCTGAATTATGTGAATTAAGGTATGCAGGTATAGTATATAGCGAGATGAAGGGCGTATTCTCTAGTATAGAATCAATAGAGGAACAGAGACGTGTCTCCTTATTATTTAATAATATAAATACATACAAGGAAGTATCAGGAGGAGACCCTAATAAAATACCTTTATTAACATTAAAAGAATTACAATCTTTTTATCAACAATATTATCATCCAGCTAATTCTTTTATTATTATTCATGGATCTAATCGTAATAATAAACAAATACAACAATTACAATTAATACATCAATATCTTATACAGCATGTTATTCCTTCCTTGCATAATCGTCCTTATACTCCTCCTCTTATTGAGGATCAATACGCATTTACAGGTATATAAATATATAATTAGGGTTTAGGGTTTAGGGTTTAGGGTTTAGGGGAGCAGTTGTTCTATGGGTGTCGTGTATATATCTGGGTATATATTTTTAGGATTTAGGTTTTTTAGGGTTTAGGTTTTTTAGGGTTTAGGGTTTAGGGTTTAGGGTTTAGGGTTTAGGGTTTAGGGTTTAGGGTTTAGGGTTTATGTTTCAGAGCCAATATATGATGAATATCGTTATCCATCATCAGCAGAAGAATTAAAAGATTGGGTAACAGTAAGTTGGGTATTAAATCCTTGTAAAAAGGAGGAAAAAGAGGGAAAAAAAGAGGAAAAAAAAGATTCTTCCCCTCCTCCTCCTCCTTCTTCTTCTTGTACCTTATTGAATGGGGAGGAGCGCCTCCTCCTACAGGTTCTTAATTTCTTATTAATAGGAGATAAGGCTAGTCCCCTTTATTCATCTTTATCTAATTATACACAATTAGGTGGACCTGCCTATACACCTGGATTAGATCTTGATCTTAAATATGCCATGTTTACTGTTGGACTTAAAGGTAAGATACCTAGCTAGCTAGATAGCTAGCTAGCTAGCTAGCTAGCTAGCTAGCTAGCTAGCTAGCTAGCTAGCTAGCTAGCTAGCTAGATAGATAGATAGATAGATAGATAGATAGATAGATAGATAGATAGATAGATAGATAGATAGATAGATAGATAATTAGCTAGCTAGCTAGCTAGCTAGCTGTAGCTGTCCTGTACTTGTAGTAGCTACCTAGGTACTGACGTATCATATGGCTAGCTAGCTAGCTGTCTAGCTAGCTAGCTAGCTAGCTGAATAGCTATCCATGAGGGTTGCAGGGAGTTAGCTAGCTATATATATAGCTAGCTAGCTAGGTAGGTAGCTAGCTAGGTAGCTAGCTAGCTGTTGTCTCTTATAATTGTGTATATGTAATTTGTTGCAGATGTACCACAACGAGAAGGAGCAGCAAAAGAAGTAGAGGAATTAGTAATAAATACATTAAAAGAAATAAAAGAAAAAGGTTTTTCTTCTCTTTCTTTATCTGCTGCACTAAATAAGATTGAATTCTTATTAAGAGAAACACCAAGAGATCGATTACCTAGAGGATTAATTTTTGCTAGAAAAATGACACAAGAAATTGTCTATAATAAGGTATATAAACCCTAAACCCTAAACCCTAAACCCTAAACACTAATTTTCTAACCCTAACAATAAAAATACTAAACCACTAATTTTAGATCATTAATTTTTGCTAGAAAAATGACACAAGAAATTGTCTATAATAAGGTATATAAACCCTAAACCCTAAACCCTAAACACTAAACCACTAATTTTAGATGAGGATTAATTTTTGCTAGAAAAATGACTTAAGGTAAACCCTAAACCCTAAACACTAACTAAACCCTAATATGAGTAGACATTTGCCGTAATTT